TTGGCGGGGCTAGTGAAGGGTTTCGTCAGGATGTCGGCGACTTGAAAGTCAGTCTTTACATTCACTAATTCGAACTGGCCACACTCAAACTGTTGCTTTAACCATCTAAACGAAACACATTGGGTTCGATTGGCATGGCGCATAGACTGTGAATGGCCAGTGGACAAAATCGTAACAGTAGCTTGGTTGTCTTCCATGAATTTGACTCTGCAGAATTCGGGAAAGTATGCAACCATACCATTGATGTGACTTGCCTTCAGCCCTGAGTCCACGTTTCCGTTTCGCATTGCGTCGATCTCCGGATCAATGATGGTGAAGATGCCTTCTTGCTTGGGCATCGCTGCGAGGCGAGCTGCTGCATCAGGTGCCTGCTTGAATAGCATAAGCTTTTCGAACAATGCTAGGGTTGGAATCCCCTCGGCACGGACACCATGGTTGGCAGCTACTACTTCGGCCTCAGTGGAGCTCATCGATGTCACAGTTTGCTTTTTGCTGTACGCATTGAGCGGGTAATATGTGCTAGGGCCCACGAGGATCATGGTCACACCTGACGTTGACTTAGAATCACGTTCCCCTGCGAAGTCGGCGCCTGCGAATAGCCAAAGCTGGCATTCTTCGAACGGATCGCCTGCGAAGCCCTCCAAATATTGGTTCTTAGTGTGATGAATGTAGGAAACTAATCGATGTAACGCTACATCGCATTCAATTGACCATTTCGTTACTCTTGATGCAAGTGACTGCGTGGCACGGAGTAAATCGAATCTGGCCACTCGGGCTGCAAAGAGGATTTTCATAAGAATCTTACTAGCAATGGGTTGCAACCTTCCGGGCTCCTCCTTCTCAGAGAGCGTGGGCTTCGGAATGCCGAGCTCCGTGAATGGTGTGTAGCTCTTCTTGAGTGTTTCAGGTTTGACTTGAGCTAGCCTACAATAAGCTTCAACACACGACTCGAGGAAAGACGACATATCATACCTGACAAGGTTCACGGGCTTGGTCATGCAACCAGCGGGCTTTGGGACAACACTTTCAACTGGTTTGAAGCGCTGCTCCTTTGCCTCCTTCTTTGCTTCCCGCTTCGATCGATGCGGACCTGGCCGGTTCTTCGATGGCGCAGCAACACTGGGCTTGTTGTCACCATAGTGAAAAATGGTTTGTCCTGTCCAAAAGACATCGGTCTTCATGTTCGGATTCTTGAGGGTCCAGTCATCCTCATAGGTATCGATTCGTTCTTTGGGCAAACGAGTGATCGTTGCGTTTGGTGACCCGTCATTGATGATCACTGCTGCATTGAACACCGTTGTCCTTTGTGCCTGAGCGAACCGTTGAACTGGCCCCCTTCGTCCCCTGGAAAGAAGAGTTTCTTCCTTGGCTGCAAGTGATGGCGTCCAGGTTTGATGGTTCGGGTCATGCTCCCAGTAGTCATTCTTTCGATGAATCTGTGCAGAGCATGCGCTTGCGCGCTGCGGGTCAAACACATGCGCAAATGGATGTGCACTGATAGGTAGTTTGACACCGTTCTTTTCAACGTGCATGCGCCCAAAGTACCTGTCATAGGGCTCTGATTCGCCCAGATCGACAACCGAACGGATGCCGGCCCAGCCCTTGGCCAAGTTCTTCTTGGGTCCTGCCATCTTGAAATCATCGACGTAGACCACCAGAATGAGCTCCAACTCGTCGTGCCTGAAGATCGATTGCCACATTTCAGGCAAAAATCTGACGCGATCCCTTTTTGGCTAAATTAGCATCCAAATGCTGTTCCCAAATACCCCCACTGTCGGGGTGTCCGTACAATGCTAAAACCATTGGGACCATGGGTTTCCAATATTTCTCTTCCCAATCTTTCGGCCACCTGTTGCGAGGTAGTTCAAGCCATGTTGGGATTCCATTAAAGGTCGCTTGGACATATGCTTGAATCGCATCTGCTTGCTCTTTCCCATACCCTGGCTGACAACCGAAGGCATCCAATATCTTGGCGGCCTCCATTGAGGCGGGGCTTGAGCAGCGAACAGTGCGTGGTCTGAGTTCTCGTCCCGGACATTCTTGCCCTGAAATACTGTTCTTCCTTTAAATTTTCTTCTGGGATCGTTCTCTGGTAGTTTAGTTCTGAGCCTTTCTCATAGCAGGCCTCGAATATCCTACCCAGATGAACCGTTTCTCCCTTTCTCCGGGCTTCCTGAATGATCTTGTGAAGTTCACGGACGAGCTTTTCATCCCAAACACCTTTCGTTCTGAGCTTGTTCCATTCGAGGTCAAGTGCCTCCCTTGCCTTGGGTGTCCTCGAATGAAGGGGTATTTCTAGGATATCACATTCAGCCTGGTTTTGTGTGGAAAGGGGAATATCTTGTCACGAAGCTTGAAGCCATCGATTACCATTTGGAACATGGCAGCGTTGTCATTCAACGCACCAAGCGATTGGAGTTGCCCTCTGAAACCCATGTGTTTCCGCTAAAAGCCAAAACCGACAGCCTTGAGCCGCCTCCAGAGCCGATTGCTGATCGTGTGATTCCGCCGGTGCCTGATCCGATCATTCCACAACAATCCGATTTGGAGTACACACCATCCGTTGCACCAGACCCCATTGAACCACCTGCCCAGGAGACGGAGCCGCCTGTTGACGTCGAGATGAAGAAGTCCAGTGCAGAACCGCTTGAGCCTGGGGAGATGATGCCCGACGGGTCGATCGCGCCGGACGGTTATCGTTATGATGGAGTTAGGCTTGTGAAAACCTACAAAGGTTCGAAGCGGCCACGAAGCATCCCCTCGGAACTCTGGAAAATGATGGGTCCGAGACCTGGTAGCCAATGGGAAGTGCTCCCAGCAAGAAAGAAACTACTGATAAACGAGTCGTTCGCAGTGCCCTGCATGCCTAGAACCAGGGGGGCTATAAATGAACCCCATCGACAGCCCAGCCGGCAGCTGGTTGAACAGCACATCAAGCGCCTTGAGTTCAAACAAGATATTGAGATGTGGGCAGCAGTGGCAAGGCTTGTCTCTAAAGACCTAGTCACTCTGTGTAGTGGAACTTTTTCGTTTTCTGTCCTTGGGGTTGGAGCTGGATAGGGATCTTCCTCCTTGGAGTGTGTTTGCTTTGACCACCTTAGCAGGACTAAGTGGAATGTGACCAGAAGTGGCTAGGAGCATGTCTAGAGAAGCCCTAAGTATAGAGCTGTAGTGCTTGAGATGAGCTGTGTATAGCCTAGCTTTGCTTGAGAGTGTTTGGAGATGCTTTCTTGTACTTTTAGTATGTTTTGGACGACTGTGACCAGTCAGACCTCTTCAGAGAAGAGTGGACGAACAGACATACAGTCAAACCGACTGTTATGTTTGGCTCAAGAGCGGGATTCGCAAAAGGGTCGCACTCGCTTCCGTGTTTTCACAGCAACGGCAATGCAACACTTCGCAAGACTGCTGCCTGACCTTTGAATGTCGAGACATGCACAAATTGTCTGAGAGGCCGGTTTGCTTAATTGGACGCCTCTTGTTTCACCTCTCTTTCGCTTTGTTTCACCTCTGCATGGTGACCAGGTTTTGTTGCTTGTTTGTGTTTGTGGTTGTGTTTCCGGTTTTGTTTGGCTTGGTTCTCTTATCCTGGCCGATGACTCACTTTTCAAGTTGCACAAGATGACCTGTGCATTCTCTGCCCACATGGCGTCTCCACCCGTGCAAAAATCTGCCTCTCACTGTATACGACTCCAGCACATTTGGCTTCCAAAAACGCTACAAACCATGCATGTGAGAAAAACCTTTGTGGATTGTGTGCCAGCCTTCGAGAGATTCAAGTTCCACCAACACTCCGATACATTGCCAGCAAAGCCTTCCTTGATTGCACCTTGCTAACAGGCCTCAACTTGATGCCAGGGAAGCGAACTACCTGGCGTGGGCCATGCTGAACAATCTGCCTTTGAGCTATGCTACAGATTCACCATGCCGGCATGGCGCAACCTCCTCCCGAATCCAGGATATGACCCAACTCAGTTTGCCAAACCAAGAGTGAGAGAGTGAGAGAGTGAGAGTGAGAGTGTGAGAGTTGAGAGTGTTGAGTGAGTGGGATGTGTCATGCAGTTTGCGCTTTTGGAACCACGCCGCTGCCTGAGCACTTGTCCTGTTTCAGTGTTGAGCGCTGGGTTGGCACCTTTCACGCTGCAGTTTTGTTTTCACATTTTTTTCTATTGCGTTCCTGGCCAAGTGTTTATTGCACGCTACCAACCAACATGATTCAACAAAAACAGACGTTGACCATTCGTCGTGTGGATTTTGTGTTTCCAGCTTCCTGATTTTTCAGTGCAGGTCGTTTCACGTTGTTGTTCCATTTTAAACGTCGTACAATGTGTCCAGATGGTTTTGCATGTTGGAGGTTAAGTTGTGTCATGGGTGCGTTTGCACAGTTCAGTTGTTTGCCATGGTGTGTCCATGGCGTTTGGTGTTTGAATGTGAGATCTTGAATATGTCGTACTTGGTGGTTGATGGAGGTGTGTTGGGTTTGGCAACACGGTTGACAATTGCAAATCGCATTGCTGCATGCCGGCGTGGTGTTGCACTGGCACGTTGTCGGGCTGTCGTGCTGACATATTGTCATACTGGCACGTGCTAACATGCTAACACGCTGTTGAAAACAGTAGTGTTTAACAGACACACGGCACTTGTTCACATTTTTGCCCATATCAACAGATGCCAAATGTTGTCATTACTAAATCACCAAATTCATGCCCAGCTGGTTGTTGTTTGTTTTTGTTTTTTTCGGCGTGTGTCCATGTGGGGCAAAAGAGGGAACTTGACGCAGCCGCCTGCTGCGATCAAAACCACGAGCTTGAACACTGGTATCCCGCATGCAAAACCCAATCCAAACCTTGCCTGTGAGTTTGATATTGCATCGCTCGAGTATAAGTATCGGATCGCCAACATTGTTTGAACATCTATTTTTGTTTGCCTGAATTGTTTTCCCAAATTGGAACGTGTGGGGCATCCAGCAACGCCATGTGCTGAGTGCGGATTGGACCGGCATGGTCTTCTGCAGATATGGGTATGATTGCTTGAGAGCAGATTGCTGGTTTGAGCACCCCGAGGCTGGAAAGGCCTTTGTTTTTAAGTTGATCGCAAATATCAGTTGAAATTTGGAAGCGGTTGCAATCGCACTCTTTCACAATTGGATTTTCAGCAGTTTTTGGGGTGCCGCCAGAGTGGCGTGGACGACCCCAGGTTGTAGGAACACATGCGATGCATCACCACAGTTTTCCATTCAGGGCAGGCGCATGGATGCTGGATCCCACATCCCTGTTCTACTCGATGAATCCGGCGCTCGACAGAAGAATGCGCAGGCATTCTTTCATTCGGCACATGATCTGTCTTTAGATGCGCAAACTCACAAAACTTTTGCATGCGTGAATATGGGAAATCCAGCACTCAGAAACATTTGGGATATTTTTTGCCAGAATTGATGATACTCATGATACTGATGCATCAGGTCTTGATCATGCGCAACGACACTGGGAGCTTCCGTGTGTTGTTGCAGCTACGAAGCTGGGACATGCCGGTACGCTGGGTCTGATGGGACAATCTATTGGACACAGGGCCCCTGAAGCTCGTGAATGTGTTCCAGCTGTGAATTCAGACATCCAAAGATTGAATTTTGAGGACATTACTCCCACATAGTTTTTGGATGTCTTTTCAGTGGCTAGCAATGGATGGTTACAGTATTTGATTCTATGTGACTGAGCGTAGCACTCCTTGGCAAGTACATGTTGCCCACCATGTAAGAAACAAACGGGCAAGATGAGGCTTGGAGGATCGTTGCCCAGCCTTGTTCAATTGAAGGTATGTGCCATATGATGGCTGATCAGAAGGTCCTTACTTTGTTCAGTTCATGGAGAGTGTTTTATGTGGTTTTATTTGCGTTCTTCTTTATTGTTTCCGTGACTATATATATACATATATATATTGTATATATAGTTTTGGGCCTTAAAAGACCTCTGAACCCGCGACCATTTTCATGAAAGTGCTTTCGAAGGCTTGGGCGAATGTGAATGCCCAGTTGCATCTTGATAGCGAATGATTCCAAAGCAAGAGACTTGCCACAGCTAGTCTCAGTATAGTAGACGGCAACCCCAGACAGCAACACCAGAAACCTTGAGGCTTGCAGAAAATGGTTTTTGCGTACTCGTGCAGGTATGTATCGAGGAACAGACCAAGAAGACACCTGGGATATAGTCACAATGGAGTCCATTGTGAAAATCTAGCATGGACTTCGTGCAAGATTCGCGAAAGTAGAGTTATCCATTCCTTCAAACAATCCAATAAACAAATGATTAGCGTGAGCTATCCTGTGTCCTACCTAGGAGCTAACTTAGCCCCTACTTACATAACTAAGTAGGCTCCTACTTAATTAAGTAGTAGGGGGGCAGAGTGGCCTAAAAGAAACAACTTGAAAATGACCTGAACTCTTTACCTTCGATCTGGTTTTCGGAGGTGATGCCTGGGCACCTTGGGGCCGTTGGAGGCATGCGGGATGCTCGAGACCTGGACAGCTCCGTCACCGCCGTGCGTGAGGTGCGGCAAAGAGAAGTGACATGTGGGGGGTGTTTACTTCATCCACTTTGCTTGCTTTGCTGGAAAAAAGGATTTCTATTTTTTCGACTGGCGGATGGAACAACCTGTTGGGTGGACCCCCAACCCCCAACCCCGACGACCTTCATTCTTTTTGTTCGAAGACCAGACATGAAGCATGGACAATCTGTATGTCACATATGATCCAATACAAGTTGTGAAATTGCAAGTACAAGTGAAAAAGACAATTGCTCGGTTGAGGTCTTTGAAGAGACAGGCCTCTTAGATGTTGGTCACCTTCCCTCTGCTCCATGGCGCTTGCGAGCTGAAGCACGAAAAGGACTCGAGCTGAAGCACGGGAGTCTGTGGCTTTTTGTCCCGCCAACCAACTGAAGCAAGAGTCGACTGGAAACGGAGGCATCATGCCATAGGATATATATATATATATACATTTTATACAGTATGGTGTGAACTGAGAGTATCAGGAGCTCCAAATTCAATCAACTTTCAATCCAGCTGGACTAGGGGTTAGCCGGATTCCGGCTACTTCCTTGGAAGGATTTGTTTTTTGACTTGGCAGCATCCAACGGCTGATTCGTCGGTAGTCCACAGCAAACCTTTGGCCATCGAATCTACCAGGATCAGTCATACCACAGTGTTTCTTCAAGCTGCGACCTTACTTGAGCCTTCAACTTGTTCGAATAGCAGGGCTTTTCCACAGAAAACACATGTAGAAACAGATCTATGACAACTGTGAGCACATGACATGTTCCGGGCCCTTCAATCTGAGGTTTGGTGAGGGTGCCCACGTCGACTGGTGGGTGCTCTTGTTATCAGGTCCGGGCACCTTTGTTGCTGCCAAAGACAGCGCAGAGTCCTGGCTGCACCAAGGTCTTGCCGATGTATGGCCTGTGTTGGCACCGCATTTTGATCACTGCTCGATAGCGTTTGGTTCGCCACCCCAGCTTCGATTTGAGGAATGTGCGGATATCTCTCGGATGTTGCCACATCTCCCGAGCGCCAAGTTGGCTCCCTGCTTCGGTCACGCCTGGATGGAGGCTGCTCGAGTCCCTGAGCTCCCCAAATCGGTGGAGCTGATGGGTGGCCTTCAGCGCCGGGTGGGGGAAGCCGTCGAGGCTCTGACTGCACGGCGCTTCCGCGGATGAAAGGACCCGGTGATTGAGCTAGGTGAGAGAGACGCTGCGGTTGATTTACTTCCTTGCTTGGCAAGATTCACTTGCTGTGCACAGTGCTCTGTGGAAGCTGAAATGCTTTGGCTGTGTCAGCTTGGCCCAATTTTGTGCGGGTACTTATATATATATATATAGATATGCTTCAACGGGGTGAAGTACTTCGCACAGACTACGAGGGCAGATATTTGGCGGCCAACAAGGGCCTGTTGCGCCATGTTTTTGCAAGCCTGCAGCAACATTGCCAAACAATCCACTGGTGTTTCCGAACAATTGCATCTTTCAAAGGTACACCATCCAGGATGGAACTGTTTCTAAACAAACAAAGTTCCACGGTTCCACGCTTCCACGAGTCTCATTGCTGAAATTGCTGAAATCGCTTCTCATGGCTTGCGATGGCACATGCACGCCTTGCCTTCATGTCATGGCCCAAGGGCCCAAGGGCCCAAGGGTTTGGATGGGAGGGAGGGCCGGTGGAGAAGCAAGATCGCAGAGCGGTGAAAATCCAATGATGACAGCCTGGAGTTGAATGAAAGAGTCTGGCCAGTGGCTGTAAGGAACTGCCATGTATCATAGCAGGGTACAAAGAAGGTCAAGTGCCCTTTCACAGGAACGATTTTCAAAGGATTTGCAGCCTACAGACCAGAGTCTTAGATGACACATGGTTTTTGAGAGAGTGGGATGTAGGCGAGATAGTGAGTGAATGGGATGTTAGACAGATACTAAGTGCAAAAACGTTCAGTTTTCCAAACGCAACCTCCCAGGACTTGCAGGATCACCTCTATTTTTTGTTCCATCTCAGACTGTGCCAGTCCGAGCAAGCTGAGACTCAACCAACCGGTCCCGAGGTCCCGGTTCGCCCCCAGGACTCCGCTCGGATGCCTCGCGGCCCCGTCCGAGCGGTCCAGGTCCGACATGACCCATGCAGCGCCGCCACGAGCCTTCTTGGCGGATGAGTGGTGCAGAAAAGTCCCGACCGAAGGAGTGGGGGGGCCACCGGTCCCGAGCTGAAGACTCAATTCGGGTGCCGGTCTCCAAAATCTTTAAATTCCTGCCGGGCGTAAAAAGCCTTCGGATGGTGATGGGTTGGCTCCGGTGGTTCATGGACTTGCCACACTTTTGAGTTTGAGTTGGCTTCAAACCAGTTTCCCTGCTGGGGCTCCTCGATTCAACAAAGCAAAGACCTTTGAAGGCAGAGTATCCGAGCTGGTGTGCTTGGTCGCGGGGCCTGCCTTAATGTGCAGGAAGATGTTTCTTTCTCAACTTGACAGCTTTAGCAAGCGCTCCGACATGGCCAGGACTTGGATGCCTCCACTGCTGAACTTTTTGCCAAGATCCAGATTGATCCAAATCCAGTGCCCTGGACTTTTCACAAATCATTCTTGACCTTTGCGAAAGAAATCTGTTCCGGAACCATCGATGCTTACGCGCCTTGGGGTTGCTCAGATTTGTTGATTCGGCCATCTAGTGCGTCATCGGTTAGGAAGACTGATTTGGAGAGTTTGTCTTGAGTTTGTGATCAGTTCCTTTTATCTAAGACACCCGTGTAGTCTTTCAGTCTCCACGACCAGCAACAGCTGAGGGGTTGAGAGAATAAAGAGAAGAGCTCTCAAACCTCTGCTTCGATGATCCCGATTGTTAGCCAAGAAACTGAATGGGACAATCGTGTAGCTGCTGACTCGGAGAAGCTTCTGCCAGCTCAGACAGACTTCTTTTTGGCCCCCAATAATTCGGAGTTTTCGCCCCCAGAGAGAAAACTCCACTGGTCCTGTACAGATATGAGGAGGCCAAGAACAGAGTTTCACATGGGCCTCACAGCCTTCACAGCCTTCAGGCTCTGGACACATCTCGTGAGCTAAGGCATCTCTGTCACCAAGTGATATCCAGCGCTGTTTGAAGGACAGCATGTCTTGTCCAACTGTGAAAACACCAGCTTTGAGGATCTTTGACCATTGTGGTAGGTCTTGAACAAATCTGCTGCTTTGGATCTAACTACGTTGATTGAGCCCTGTTCAAACTCTGAAGAGAGAGAGAGAGAGAGAGACAGACAGACAGACAGACGGACGGACGGACGGACGGAGAGAGAGAGAGAGAGAGAGAGAGATGGGGGGGCAGATACTTGCTCGTTGAGAACGCTTGAACAGAAGGTTTGTGCAGGGCCTTTTTTGCTCCAAAGCTTTTCAGCCTTGGCTCCTGAGAAATCAGCAGCGTTGAAGGAGTATGGGGTAACGGAATACAACAATGATGCTTTGTTCATGTCCAAGCTGCTTCAGCAGATCGAAATATTTTTGCCGCTGGTTGGCGTGTGGGAGGCTTGGCAAAAAGAATGAGAATGTTGATGCTTCGCAAACACGTGTAGACTGTAGACACTCCGTTGAAGGCGCTGTCGCTTCGGATGTGGCAAAACATTCATGCCACACTGAAAAACGGTGGAACTGTTCAAAAGTGTCACCTGAGCACTAGATTCAGGGCATATGCATCAGAAATGGATAAGACCTGCATCAGAAAATATGTTAACAAGAGAAGTGCATCAATCAGGCCTATTTTTTTTAAATAGAGTTTTTTTTCGTTGGTGCCTTTCGTGCCTGGCCTGTTGATGGTTTTGTTTGGATCAGTTGATGATGGACGGACGGTGGACGGAGGCGAAAAGCGCTCCGTTTCGACACGTCGAAGCCGGTGGAGAAGCGGTTCTGCGCTGCGAAGAGGGTCGATGAAATCGGAGGTCTGAGTGCCTTTTCCTTTCCAAGTCCCGTGTCAAAAGGAAGGCGAAAAGCAGATTTCTCTGGGGCAACGACCCTCCAACCCTGTGCAAGTGCGCACTGGAAAAAACACACTTTTTGATACTATTTTTGATTTTCCTTTGTTTTTTTGGAACCATCACCCAGCTTGAGGAGACGGCAGTAGTAAGCCGTTCAATGGAGTAGGGTCGTCTGTGATGTCTTGTCTCACCCTGCTCCGTCTGCCTAGCGCCGAGGAGCATCGGAAGTTTGGCAGAAGCTACAAGATTGCTCTCAACAAGAGTGGCAAACTTCTCTGGCAGGGCTCTCACATCACTGGAGAACCTTTGCTTGGAGTTGCTTGACTTCCTGCTTGGGAAAAGCCAGGGTAGTGACACTCCCTCAAATCATTATGGAAGTAAAACATGCTCCCTTGGATGACCATTTTCCTGTACAAACAGGCGGTGCCATGCACTTCCATCACAAAAAGGCTACTAGGGGCTCCTGGACGCTACTTGGGGCTCCTGGCCTTACTACTAGTAGCAAGAACGCTACTATTTGGAAGTTAACTCGGAGAGTCATTCCCTTTTGTCTTTGGCTCCCCCAGAGGCCAAGCCGTGATTTGGCACCTCGCACCTGCAGGTCTTGACTCCGGAAGGCATGTGGATTTGCAGCGAGCTCTTGACTCCAAAGGAGGAGAAGATCGGATCGGTGCGACTTCGTCATGGACCAGAATGGTGACTGAGCCTGCAAGGAGAAGGCGAACTGGTTGAATAAAAGAGCCAGCTGCTTCATGTCCATGGGTATTTTCTGGACTCTGCGGGTGGGCTTGGTGTTATTCTTTAGTAGGAGCTGACATCAAGCAAACTATTCCAATGACTCTTATTTGTCCATTGAGTCATGCAACATCTCGTATTGCGAGATGGTAGGATGCACGGACATATGCTCCATTTGTATACAAGATAGATCCAAACGACTGCATAGCACGTTGGCACATTGGATCCCCGTCTCTTTCTTCCATTTCACATGCCAGCTTCCTCTGCCCAGGGACCAGTTAAGCCTGAACTTCAAGACAAACTCTGTCACTCAATGGGGTGCAGATGTTTGCGCTACCCGCACCTGGGATGAAGCAAGTTCACAGGCATTTTGCTATTGGACTGGCCTCCTGCCTGTGTGGTGCCTGACTGCTACAAGATGTACATAAAAGTCTGCCCGTGGAATGCAACCTTGGCGATGCAATATGATGATCATGCATTGGCAGTGTACCAAGGAGTGACCGCGGAGATTCGAATTTGCCGACCCCCGTTTCCTTCTATGGAATCCAAGCCATCATTTGCAGAAGCACAGCCTGGATTGGTTCCAATCAAGGCTAGTTCTGTTGAAAGCCGAGGACTTTCAACTTTTGGATCATGAAAGTTAAGGGTCTCAAAGAAACTAGAGGCCCTTAGCGGTTCTTTTGCTTTCAGGCCCGGGCAGTCATGCCGTTGCAGGCCGTGTCTTCGATAGCTGCAGCTGCCGAGCTCTCCACGTTGTCCTTGCTTCAGCTGAAAGAGTGCCTAAAGGAGAAGCTGCAACATTTGTAGTGCTACTACTAGGAGCAAGAATGCTACTAGGGGCTCCTGGCATCGCTACTAGGAACAAGAAGCTACTAGGGGCTCCTGGCCGTACTACTGGGAGCAAGAACGCTACTAGCAGCCCCTTGCGATGTATCTCTGTATGTTTGCATTACTGGCAGACTGGACGGAGTACCCAACAAGCTCTACAGGGCGCTGTGTCACACCCACAAAGAAGTGTGATAGGAGTATGGAGTCACCGAATATGGGCGCTTCTTCAATCAGAAAGAATCTCTTGTAGAATCTGGCCTGCATCAGTGACTGATGATTTTGCTTGTTTGACTTGGAATTCATGTTGTCCATGGACCTTAAGTGTCAGATTGGCCACTCCTTTTCAAGCTGAGATTCCTAAACTTTTGCCGCCCATGACTTGGTAGACTTTGACACAAATTCTAAAGAATGGTTTTACTTTCTCCATTCCCAGATGAAAGTCATCCCGTGTCTCTCAACTTTGCAAGTCGAGGAACTCCTGGCGAAGGTGGAAGCTACAGTACCCCTAGTGGGCCGCTGGCAGCCGCTCTACGCGAACAACGTTTGTCTTGAACAACGAGGTTGATGGATAAAATCAGCGTAGTTCTGACCGCGTGATCGTTCTTACCAAGGTACGGGAAGGCCCCCAACCGCAAGAGCTACCAGATCCGCCGTTTGATTTCCGGAGTCTTGAAGTGGGAGGGACCACATTCCAGAGGCACAGGGTTTCTGCTTTCAACCAGAAAAGCACGTCCGCTTCAAGCGCAAAAGCCATAGGCACACTGTCCAGAACTACCCAGCGTGATTTTGTTCATAGCCGAAAACAAGTGTAATTACTTGGACTTGGGAATAGTTTCATGGCTCGACCTACACCCGTTCCTTCTCTGAAGGTGGCATGCTAAGCGGCATTCTGGAGGAAGATGAAGGTTGGTTGGTGGCACAATTGATGACCAACCAGAATGAGACCATCGGAGATTGCCTAAGACCCACAATTTCATCGAACTGTTTGGATGAGCCGCAAAAGCAGTTCCCTTTGGACCTGGTGCTGAGTTCAGTCTATGGCCAAGGATCAATCCGACTTCGACACGGTCCAAAATGGAACGAGGTCATGTCAAACTTCAGCTCCTTGACAGCTTGGGCCATTCCTCAAGCAGTATCAAAGAACTCATTTTTTTGCGTTTTCCTTTTGGCTTTTGCTGTTTGCTTTAGTTTTGAGGAAGCCACATGATGACGGAATGGGGCAGTGACATCGTCTCTTGTCTTGAAAGGGTGTTTCCGCCGTGCTTGGGAAGCAGAACTATGGTTGCACTTCGTATTTTCCTTTTTTCAGTCGAATCGTTGGCCATGAAGTGCTGATGGTACCCCACTTGACTGTTCCTTCGAAAGGTGTGGCCCTTGCCAGGCAGTTGAGAAGAACTTTGAAGTTTTAGGGGGTCGGGGTGGAAAGGGGATTTTTCAGTGCAAATACAGGGTGGACGCCGGACGCCACCCAAAAACTTCAGTGGAGCAAGCTAAAGCAGCTAAAGTGGATGACAAGAACCCGAAACGGCTGACGCTTTGAGCATTTTTTGGGTGATCTTGTTGGGCGGTTTTCTTCTGCCCGGGGCCCAGATTGCGGAGCGTGTGGGTGAAGAAGAGCCCCTACGACGGCCCAGCTTCGACGAGGTGCGGAGCGTGCGGAGCCAAAGGGGTCCCGGTGGTCTGGAGCCATGAAAGGAAACATGTAATTGGTTTGAATGGTGTAGTGTGCTTTGTTTAAAAGGAGAGCCCTCCAAGCGAAGATATGGTCGGAAGGAAACACGGGCATGCAGTGGACAATTCACCAGCTATGAGTCCTGGTCAGCCTTGTGGCCTGTTTCTCCACGTGGCCTTTGATCGACGGAATTTGCAGACCTGGCGCAACGATCACTGCAAATCTTCTCCGCATTGCATGTCTCGCACTCTGATCGAAATGCTTCCCTACCAAGCCCAAAACTTGCCAAGCAGTTTCTTTGTGTTTGTTAGGTCAGAGTTCTTAGCTTGGGAGGTGCCCTCTCATTAAAATGAGGAAAGAAGCACTTTCGCAAATTGGAAAAATGACTTGACCATTATAACCTCCTGAGCAAAATGAAATCTTTCAAGCCCACAGCAGAATAGCAAGCTTCGAACGGCTGCGTGTGCTACAGCTGTTTTATGTGAAGGATTGGAATGGTGAACTGGCTTTGAATGCGAGAGACTAGGCAAAGCCAGCTTTGAAAATTACAGAACCTTGTGGACATGCAGAGTCGAGCATTTAGCCCATTCCTCTGTCACTGAAAGTTGCCAAAAAGGTACTCGAAGCGAGCGGTGCAAGGCAACCTTTAAATTGGGAAAGAACAGGATGCGGATTCTCTGGTCACGAAATCCAACAAGAGGACGTGGCCGATGAGCTCAAGAAGCTGCACATAACGCGGTAGCAGTTCCCTCCACCGACTTGTGAAAGAGGCGATCACATAACAGCGCTCAAATCCAGAGAGCAGATTTCGTGGTTGAGACCATCGCCGCGATTGTTCTACTGCGATTACTCTGACTTTGGTCTGGAATATCACGAGCCACAGAACACCAAACAGCCTCAACATAAGGTGTGATGTCACATGCTCTTTTCTTTCTGCGTGGTGTTCTGTTTGGCAGCTTTCCCTTGTGGAAAGGCAGGCAAAATTCAGGCTGAGAATTTGCAGTCTTGGGTCTTGGGTCGCTTTGGATGTTCGCTGATGTTGTACCATCCTTTGATTTTGGCATAATTATACTGTATGAAATCATAGCGTGTGCCAGAGTGCTTCTCATGCGACATCTTGAAGAGACTTCCCAAATCAGCGCTGCTGATTTCTTTTACCGCAACAACCTTTTTGAACACAGACGGCTGCACCGAATGTTGACGGATCAAGACACCGAATGCTGCCCGCGCTGGATTCGCTTGCGCCATCGCCAGGAGACGGAGGAAGAGGAGGATGTGGTTCTCACGGACATTTCAGAGTTGTCTGCGCAAGAGGTGAAGCTGTGTTTGAAAGAGCCCCTTGGACAGCTGTGGGGATCCACCCTTTCTCTTGCACTGTTGGAGTTTACGTGTGCTTTGCCCCAGATATAGCAGTCTAAACCACGATTGTCGACGATGCACTTCTTGATGGTTTTGGAGTAATTAATTCTCAAAACATATTTACCCGGCGAGGGTCCAACATGATGGCAGCTGTCAGAACCAGGACTCAACGACCCCCAAGCTTCCATAGTTTTACACATGATGGCATCAGGATCAAGCACTTGTCAAGCTCATTGGATGAACTGGTTCCCACAAGGATGGATTTGAGCGTTGCATGAGGTGAATTCCATGTAGCACGTCCGGCCTAGGTACGGTGTCACCAAGATTCATGATTTGGAACGACGAGAGCAGTTGGTAGAACTCTTGGAAAAGGTTGAGCCTTTGCTGCAGGGAGGAGGCACTTGCCCACACAAGAAACTCACTCGCCTCGAAAAATATCTTCTGGCATCGCGGATTTGGAATGGATCCCGCAATGAGGCTCGAGTGTTTCATCAGTCTTGGCTGGGATAGAGTGTGAAGCTTTGTGCTTCTTCAGGTCTCATTGCCAATCGTAAGAAGTGCTGGGTTTCGTTTCTGTTTGCATGATTTACGTAGGTCATATCACTTTGAACATGTTATGAAGTAAATCAGACCAAAGAGATTTATAAATTCTGAGCAATGTGGAATTTTTCCCGGACCAAGTTGCTATGACTGCGCAATCGCGGGTTTTGATTTTGCTGGAGACGCTCCAACTTGTTGGATCGATCAGGCTTTTTCATGCAAGTAAGTAAGAAACTTGTGAGACAATGCATGATCTGACACACACACACACACAAACCGATGTGAATGTTTCAATCGCTGCATGGAACCGGGCTGCCTGGACCCAGGCAAAACCAGTCTATTTCTCGAAAACAGCATTTTTTTGGACGTGTGCGTCTCTGTGTAATGGGCAGAGAGGGTGGGCGGTGGGCTGCTTTGAAGAATCATTTATGCCAGAAACCAGATTCTGCCTTTACCCATGTGGTTTTCAGACTCCATGCGAGGAAGCCACTCCCTTGTGAACGCCGGTGAGTTAATTGGTCCAGTCTGGTAGGCCAGGCAAATAGGCCGATCAGATGACTGCAGCCATACCCTGAACAAGAACACACAGAGCAAGTCAACTGTCAGCTGCTGAAACAAACCCATTACATATTGCTGAGGAAGATAGCTTACCTCTGGTTGGAACCTGGCAACATGGGCGGCACAACAAGCAGTACGAAATCCAGCATACAGAAGATGGACAGTTGTGCCTTGGATGAGAGACTGTTTTCCACCTTCATATTCTTTAGCAATTCGGATGATTTTGATCTCCCAGTATGCCGCATTTCCTCCGGAGGTGTCCATCGGTTGTCTAGAGAACATGTCCTAAGAACCGAACAAAAAAATACTGTTGCCCTGCCCAACAAAAAAACGAGAGTAACAAGAAGCTACTAGGGGCTCCTGGCCTTACTACTAGGAGCAAGGACGTTACTAGAGGCTCCTGGCATCGCTACTAGAAACATTCCTACTACTAGGAACAAGAAGCTACTATTGGCACACAAAACATGTCGACTGTCGACTCCATGTGTTGGGCTCAAGTGAGGCTTTGGGAAGGTCCACACATCTTCGGTGGCACACTGGTGGGCGTTCTCTATGACGATGCCGACTGGCTCCGGGCCGAACTCTTTACTTGCAAGGACTCCTCGGGTTCACCGAAGCAGGGTTGTTTTGTTTTTTACTTTTTCCGACAAGGTCCTGGTTGGTGCCCAGAAGCAGTGGTCTGTGATTTGCATATTAGCTGCACTCTTCAATCCATCAGATCACTTATATACAGTAATACTATATACACATATGTATAACTATCTATAGTTATATATATATATACACATTTATATAACATAGTATTAATCTATAGATATAATACGCAAGTCGTAAGTCCATCGATTTGGGAACTGTGAGGAGGAATCCGAGCAAGTCGGCTCTGTGAAAGTGACGCATGGACCTGACACCTGGATCCATTTTCCGAGAGGACGGGGACCCAAACGCCCAAATGCCTCACCGGAAGCTGAGAAAATAGAAACCTCATAGGAAAGGCCCAGGGGTAGGAGCAACATCAAGTTGAAGCTGAGTGGAGAACTGAGGGCCAAGGCGGCCAAGACTCAGAGGTTCCAAGAATATGCAGAGGTTCAGAGCAGCAGTTTTGCATGATCGGGCTTTGGAGTTGACGGCAATATATAGTTGCAGTCGGGGATGACAGGCACGTTCAGCTGGTGTCGTTGGTCCTGGCACTACGTTGCAAAGTTTGAATGGAGGAAGCCTTCTTAATGTTGACTATGCAAACTTATGTACAGTTTCTTCAAAGCACCTGTGGAAATTACAGGAAGGCATCTAAAAGCTTGCGACCGTGCTTTGGGCATTGAAGCCAACTGGCCTGTTCTCTGCACCGGCGCAGCAATCTCAGGATTGGCATGAGATGACGCTGAAATTCATGCAAAGCAACTCCGGGCTGTGGGGCGATAATATTATCGCAAAGCGAGTTACCAAGGAGCTGTTGCGTACAGGGGCACAACTACTTTCTGAAACAAAGGATAGACAAAGGTCAGAGATAGTGGGAAGATGTCAGGTGCAAACCGTTTGCACGTGCCATTTTGCGTGGACGCATGGTGATCGACGTCCGGTTCAATGAACCGCATTCTCTTCTCTGAGATTTGGTTTTCTCAAACATGTGTCTTTCACTAGGTCCGTGAGTTCTTTGCGTAGCCTTTGGTCCGCTTCAGGAGCATGCTCCTCGACGTCCTAAGCCTCTGCCAGCTGTACGAGACTTCGAAGATGATGATGAGCTTGTGGAGTCACAATATTGGGAGTCCTTAGAGGTCCTTTGCCGAGCAAGCAAACAAAATGTATATATTTAATGTATGTATGTAAGTAATGTAATGTCATGTACTGCACTGTAATGTTATGGTATGGTGATGTATGTATGTATGTATGTATGTATGGATGGATGGATGGATGGATGGATGGATGGATGGAAAGAGCCAAACCTTTCCTGGTCACATGTTGATGCCATCCATTGCCGTGCCCGTCGAGTGTGGTGGGAGTGGTCGTGGATTGCTTGAGCCATGGAAAATCGGTGTTAGAGCTACGGTGGAAGGGAGACCTCTGACTTGTGGGAGAGAGGACGCTCAACGGGAAACAAGAGGGTCTACTTACGTGTTTTTACATTGAAGAGGACTTCAATTGGTGGTTGAGCATTGAGTTGGGATCGAAGCAGGGCTTCATAGAGGTGTTGTTGTCTTTGCTGCAGGGCAGTGAAGCTAGCGGAGCCCGGAATGAGACCTTTGCAGAGTGCCGGTATCCGCACCGAGCTTATCAAGCGAGGGAAGCTTGACGAGCCAGCTGGCACAGCTTGTGCCCACGTTCGATCCTGGTCAGGACAATGTTGAGCAGTGGAAGCAGAAGACTTCTTTGTTGGCAAAAGCATGGCCGGAAGCAAAGTTGCTGGAGCTTCAAGAACGCATTGTTCTCAATACAAAGGGGTCAGCCGTTCAGAAACTCGAACTTTGTCAAAGCGAAGTGTTGACTGGTGCCAAGGAAGGGACAGCCCGCATCCTGGAGTTGGTCAGCGGCCAATTTGGCCAGGTCGCGCTGGAGAAGAAGTTCGACGTTGTGGACAAAGCTTTGTTCAAGTGTCAGCAATAGCACGGTGAAACAGCAGACAGTTTTTTGGCAAGAGCCGACGTTGCTTGGATTGAGATGGACATGAAGGGTGTGAAACTCAGTGAAGTTCAGGCCTACATCCTGCTTCGGAGCAGACTGTCGTCTGACGACAAGAAAAGAGTCTGACAGTGGCAAAGGTGCGGACGGCAGTCCGTTTCTTGGGATCGTCCTTTTTTCAGGAGTACACAGCTGGTCGCAAGGGCAAGGGGTTGAAGACATATGACAACTCCGCGCTAGCTGGTGAGGAGATCGAAGAATTCCAAGGCGATGAAGAGCCTTGGATTTTTGCTGAAGAGGTTCTGGACGACGAAACCTTGAAGCAGCTGTCGGCCGATGACCCTGATGCAGCACTCACCCTCCAGTTCGAGAATGCCATTCAGGATTCAACCCAAGATGACAGTGACTTGGCAGTCTACTTCTCCTCATACCTAGAGCACGAAAACGCCTCCAGAAGAAAGTGAAGCAACGTGGATTTGGAGTTCTCCAAAAGGTTCCAGCTCCTGTTCATCCGTTTCAAAGGCCGTGGCAAGTTGTCTTCAAAGGGCAAGACCGGATCCAAAGGTGGCCGTGGGTTCAAAGTTCAAAAAACTCGAGCAGAGAATCTCAGAGTCGTACTGCAGGTTGTGTTATCAGCAAGGGAATGTCCGTTGAAGCGATCCGGATCGAGTGAAAGCCATCCAGACAAGAACTCCGTGACAGTGCCTACGTCAGCTGCCGTGACATTTGACTTGTCACAAATCCCTGAGGTGGAAGTCACGGATCTCGAAAAGGACATCGGTGAAACGTGTTCGGGAACGGTGGAAACTTGTGTTCAAGACATAGAAAACCGATTAGAGGCAAAACTCAGACAATCGTTTCGCCGCCGACGACGAAATTTTGTGGTCCCAGCGCACCATGCCGAGGCGCAGGTGAGAGTTTGAGCCAGATGCCTGCGCCCGTTTCGAAAGCCGAATGTCCAAGTCTGTTTGCCAGCTCGGGAACGGGAACAATAGGGGTCGTTGACCTACAAGCGTCGCAAGCAGTGATAGGTGATGAACAAGTAGGTGAACTGGTTGAGCATTTGCCTTAAAACGTCAGAAACAAAGTCAAAAGGACCAAGCCCAATCTTGTTTTCAAGTTTGGAAATCGTCAAGCCCTCCCGAGCCGGACAGCCGTTTTGATCCGGCTTCAGCACGCTTGGATTCGCGTGGCGTAGCCATTGTAAAAGGGAACGCGTTTTTTTTCACATCCTGCTCCCTGTTCCGGCGTATCAACCTGTCATTGATACTGAGAATGAAACCCTGAGGGCAAAGCTTCTGGGAAAATGCATGAAGATGGAAGAACTGGCTTTTGGTGAACACCAATCAATTGTGGCAAGACGAAGACCAAGCTTTGGCAACCAATGCCGAGACCATCCCAAATGGCCTTGTGAGTTGGGGAGAGGCTAGAACATATGATTCCCAAAATATGTTTTCATGAATTACTTCTCTTTCTTTCTATGAAACGCATTTATGAACCAACAACTTGTGTGTGTGTGTTTTCTTTTGTAAACCTTGTGTTTTTGATTAAAATTTCTAGGTGTTTTTTGAAATAAAGTATGTTATGATTTCTTGATGCGCTCAACAAACCATACAATTTTCATAAAAAAGCATAAAACAATAATATTTACAAAAAATATGGACTTTTTTCATTCTCAACAAACAGTTGAAAAAATAGAACTCTTCTTTGTTTGGAAATTTTTATGAACGCATGACTTTTTAAATGAGAAAACTATGAATATGAATTTTGTCGATTTGCTGATTTGTTGAAAATCAATAAAAAGTCATAAAGAAGTCATAAAATACGTCATAAACAACATCATAAAACATCAAAAAGATCATTACACGCATAAAAATGGAATCTCCAAAAATCAACAAAAATTAGTTTTCATATCTTTTAAAGAATCAAAAAAGACAATAATCAACCAAACAACTCTTTGGCTGTCTTCCTGACTCTCAAAAATAGCCCCAAGCAGCAAGTGAAAAGGAAAGCAAGCCAGCCAGAGCAGTGTCGTGATCGCCAAACCAACCGAAACGACGTCACAGCCGAAAGCCGTCAGAAGTTGCACGTGTTTGCAGGCAGTGTAATCACTCGTGCCTCAGGCTGCTCTGACCAGCCAGAAATCCAAGCCCGGACGAATCATGTTGGGTTTCGCCTTCAGAAGGACCGGGAACAGGTCGATCCCAGGCGAATCAAGAAGAGATCACCTTGATGACTCTCAAGGAGGTGTCCAGGCAAACGATCCTATTTGGGAAGGTCAAGTTCGGAATCAAAGTGTTCAAAGATCTGTCGTGGACCAGGTTCGTGGCCAGCCGATTCGAGCACTCAGAGAAGAAAGAACACCAAAATGTACATTCAGTATGTCAAGCTGCGAACGAAAGGCAATTCTGAGTCCCGTAAAAAGGTTCTCAAAGCCAAGAGCAAGCCGACTCCGTACACGCCAGAGGAATTCGACACGACGCCCATGATCGCCGAAATTCTGCAGACCGAAGAGATTGCGGACCTCCAGAGGCGCGTGCGCAACGTGGAGGGCAGGATGAACGAGATCGCCCAACACCTGAGGACATTGATGAACACTCCACCTGCTGCCGGAGCTGGGACAACGGTCAAGACCGAGGAGACACCTTTATAAGCCAGAGCCAACCCCGTGAGTTGGATTCCATGTGCTTGGCTCTAGACAATTTGAAAGAAGTAGAAGCCGGTTTTGACAGATGAGCCTAAGACAAATTCAATGTATCCTCGAACCAAGGCATTGTTGCGTAAAGAGCTAGAACAAGCCAAGACCATCGTCAAGCTGACCAAACAAAGCAAGTGTTTCTTGTTCGAAGTCTTTTGTGCTCTCCGAACAGCGAGCTTGTCTGAACTCTGAACGCACACCGACATGGTCTAGAGCAAGCGGGTCTCAAGAACCCCTCAAGTCGCAAGAGACTGTTTGCGCATATTCATCAAGATCCCCAACGCCGCATGTGGGTCAGCCCGGTGTGTAAACCATGGTGGAAGTGTGAGCTGTTGATCCGACAAAGAGCAAGGAAAGCCTTTTGCATGGTGGACAACAGCCAGGTCCTCCGACGGGCGTTGAATCAACGATCTCGTCCAGCCAGAGGAAACTTCCAGCCGGGGGAGTGGATCATGATTTAAGGAGAAAGGAAGGAAAATGGACAGGTCCACCCAAAGTCATTCAACATGAAGACCAAAACATAGTTTGGGCAACTAGGGGGTCGTCGATTGCTTGGGCCATGGACAATCGGTCTTAGAGCTACAGTGGAAGGGAGACCTCTGACTTGTGGGAGTGAGGACGCTCAACCGGAAACCAGAGGGTCTATTCACGAACATTGAGTTTGGATAGAAGCAGGGCTTCATACGGTTGCTGTTGTTTTTGGTGGAGAAGTTACCAATCCATTTGAGAGTATGTCTGTTTGTCTGTGTATGTGTATGTGTATGTGTATGTGTTTGGGTGTTTTCAGTTCACTAGTTTATGTGCAGACATTATAGCAGAACTTGCCGACTTGGCAACAGCAAACCCAAGACTCTTCGCCACAACTTCTCTTACAATAGTTCTGCGGGTGTCCTGCAGCACCAGGTTCCAGTCGCAATATCATCAGACTAGAGGTCCTGACCAGTCAGTCCAAAAAAAATTGTATGGACCACCCGTTGTACAAGGCACCGTACTACTAGTAGCAAGAAACTACTAGTAACAAGGCACCTTACTATTTTTTCCACAGAGCCGGGGTGCTGTGCCACATGGCCGCCCGAAGAGGTGCTGAGCCAAGCTCTGCGGGTGGAGCACGCCGCCTTGGTGCCACTGGAGCGGAGGGCCAAGAGCTGGGCGCGGAGTGTGGCCTTTGCGCAGATGACCTTGGGCATGCGAGGGATCCCCATGAAAGGAGCAGATGGAGTCCGATGGAGTGCGGGGTTCGAAGTCCGCTGTGGAGTGGGGCCGGTGTAAATGGGCCGACCGCAGTTTGGTTTGAGAGGGAACATGAGAGTTTGTGAGGCTGAAAGAGTCTGTAGGAGGTGTTAAGCTTTGCATTCAGGAAATTGCGATGAACGTTGTTTCTTTACCTTTACCGCCTCTACCAATATTTTGCCCAGTTTTAGGTAGGCGGAGGCTAACGGTGTTGTTTCCAGACTGTTTCGAGCAAGGTACAAGAAGAGCGGCTAGTCCTTTTGTTTGCACTGGCTAGTAGCACTGTAGTCTGCGGTGTCATCAACGAGTCATCACTTCTGTGACAAAACTGCAGGAGTTGAAGATGCAACCTTTGTGATTTGGGTGCTTGGTGCAACAGCCGAAGTGGAAGTCTCCCTTGCAGAGCAAGGATACTTCAAGGATGTGAACTGGCTGGACCGTGCTCCAACAAAGGTATACATCATTGGGGAAAACCTTCTAGAAGATTTGGTCGAGGAGGAAAGCAAGACGAAGGTGTCCAAGGAGCCGTTGGTCGCAAGTTGAAGTGTGGAAGTTCAGGGGTTCCAACTGCTTCACAGATGTACACAGATGTCCGGACCCGGACTATCCGAAAAAGACTGCAGGAGACAGTTGCCGCCTCTGTGACCAAAGAAGATGCAGCCACCTATGTGGTAGTCTATTCAAGAGTCTTTGTGCGTGATTATCCCTCCATTGATGGTAAGTATGTTGGACGCTTGCTGGCAAGTAGGACACATCAGACACAACCTATTTCTTGGTACTGACTAGCAGTGTGCCACATCAGAAAAATACGTCACAGATCTTCAAGCTTTCAACAGATGTTGTGTCCCTATGGCTAGTTCTGGGATTTCTGACAAACGATTGTGGAGTTTCAACCACTGGATATTCCTTTTTTCGAGATCAACCAACGGAAACTGTTGGAAGACCATCATTTTCTACAAGCCAATCTCCGTGTAAGTACCGTAGAATTTCTAGACATACAGAACATCCAGTGATCCAGCAGATCGTCGTTCTAGCTCGATGCATCCAGGGTTCGATCAACCAAGGAGATCTCTTTGAAGGCACAGAGGCCAGTGAGTGTTCGGACGAGGGTCATGGGCCATGGGCATGGGCTGCCCTTGATTGACCTGCTTTTCGGGAGGTAGACTTGGGGAAGTACTTGGGGATTGTCTGGGGTTATAGTGTCTCCCTTTTGCTCAGTGTGAACGGTTGGATTCTGAAGAGGATGTAAGAGGTTGAACCAGCCTTGAGGTGCACGGCAGGGAAGAAGGAGGTTGGCTACGATTGGACCAAGTGCCCTGGCATGCCAACATCACAGTCCTTTGAAGACTGAACACCAGCCCGCAAATCCAGAGTTCAGGTCCAACCTCCAGTTGTTTGCAGGTCCAAAAGTCTCTTTATCCTGTTTGCATGTCCCGCCTAGTATCTGGAAATTAGAGCAAGTGAGAGCAAATCACACTACTCCTGTCCCATGTCTTCCGGCACCCTACGTCCCTCGATCTCTTAGGCCAGCGCCGAGCTCTGCGCGCGCATCCGGCAGCGGAGTGTAGGTCCCACATGGGTGGCTCAGAGCCAATTGGGAATCGATCGTGGGGGGACCATGGCAGGTTGGGGGCCGAAACGGATTGAACATTGGAGAGGTTGGCTGGAGAGCAATGAGATCCTGGTCCTTGGATTTGATAGGTTTGGTCATTGTTTTGTGGGATTTCAGGGTCCCTCGTTGACGTGGGCCCCATCGTAAGATAGATACCCTTGCTTGCAGACGGGGCCCAATCTGAACAAGTTCAAAATGACCAAGAACCACCAAGTAGTCGTCGTCTATTGTAGAACCTAAAGCTGAGGCCCTGATTGATGGAAGGCAGCTGGGCCTTGGAAAGCTCTTGGAGAAGAAAGCTGCCAGCGCGGATATCGAGTCACCGAAAGCAGAAGGACTCGAGATTTCTCGTATGATCTCTTATGGCCACAGGGATGAAATTCGATAAGCCAGGGAAGTCAGTAGTTCCAGCTCCAGCAAGTGAACCTTTGTCCATTGTCCACTTACCATGTTGTGTGTCATGACAAAAGAAGGCTTGATTCACTGCTGCATCCTGGTTCAACAAACCATGTCAGAGAGACCGAAACCACTGGCATGTACACATTTGGATGCCTGAAACTTGGCGTTGGAAGATGCAGAAGCGGCTTTGAAGCAGCGTGTCTGCCTCCACAACAATATCTCATTGTTTTTGCATGTGCTCGAAGACTGGCCAGAAAAGAGTTAGCTTTCCATTTGCCACCTGGAAGCCACTGAGCATGTTTCCAGGAGTACCTTCGGGCTTGCCGCAGATCCGAACCGCCTGCTACGAGGATTTGCTCTCGCTTTTCCAGACTGAGCCTCCCGATCTTGGGGTCATCTTGATGCCGAACTTCACGAAGACCGCCCCCGAAGATCCACAACAGGCCTTCGAAACAGCAGGTTTTCTCGCAACATTGACTCTACCCAATGTGAGTTGACAAAAAATATTTCAGGTCTGTTTTCGAGGCATTCAATGAAGGCTCCGCAAACTGTGTTCCTTGCAGGGTGTCATTCCCGCCGGGATCTTTGAGATGTCGGGCCATCTACCTGTGGTGGTCTCCAGCCGATGCCGCATCCAGTCGTTGAACCCCCTGGGTGATGGAGTGCTTTTGCCCCAAATGCGATGTCCATTCTCAGCTGGCGCAGGCGACGGAAGTGATGAGTCAGGGACCTTTTGTTGTGCTTGGTACCTGCGATTTGCGCTGGTATCTTTCGGGTTTCAGAAGCCAGCCACTCTCAAGGCTTGTATGGCAGCTTGTTCCTTCCCATGCTTGTTTCTGGACGACTAGCTCCTTGTAATTATATGGTTGAATGCCCCCATAACTAAAAACGAATCAGTTTCGCATTCCACGGAGCTTTGGGCTCGAGAACAGGGTACGCTGACCTGCAGTCGCTGCAAGAAGTGGCGGCTTCTGGCAGGTCAGTGTACCGTGTGCGCATCCATCGAGCGGTTGCGCGCTGCGGCTGGCAGCGATCGGTTGCCGGCTACCTTGGAAGCTGAGGCCAAAGTAACCAAGGTCTTGGATTCCGCCTACTACTCCATCGCCAGGCTCTTTCCTGAATCGGACGAGGAGGAGCCAACAAAGGGAGGGGCGCCTCCCAAACGAGTGGTGGAGGAGAGGAGCACCAAGGGAGAGAGATCTCCCAAGGAAAGTTCAAAAGAAAAAAGAAAGAAAGCAGAGGATCCAGGCGAAGAGTCAGGTAGCAAGAGAGTCAGCGAGAAGGAGGTGCAAAAGAAGGTAGCAGAGGTAACAAAGAGTGAAGGAAGCAAGACATTGCCCAAAAAGAAGGAGGAAGAAGAGAGCAGGAGAGCAAGGAGCCGAACCCCGCAGAGGCAGAAGGAGAAGGACAAAAAAGACAGGGAAAAGAAGGATAGCAAGTCAAGATCTGTGAGCGGTTCACGGACCAGACGGAAGAAAAGGGAGGACCATTCTCCCAGAGCTAGAGACAGTCGAGGAGTACCCGAGTCAGTTCGACCGAGCAGTGGCGTCCAGAGAGAACCCTTTCTCCGCCCTCGTCCCAGTCAACGTGAACCTCGATCCCCTCGAACTCCAGATCATCCACCGCCCAGGACAGATCTTATCCCGCCTGCCGCAGGACGAGACAAGCTTCCAGGCAGAGGGTGGAGAGGCCCGGTACCCTACTCTGATCATCCCAGGTGGAGTGAAGGGACCAACAAAGGTGTGACGAAAAGAGCGAAGCAGGAGTTGTTCGATAGAAGGAACACTCGTGGAAGGTGGTGAGGGGAGTCATGGCTCCCAAGATGAGACGACCAGCAGCGATGCCGGCGCGGGTGCGCCCGTTGAGGAGGCCTGCACGGGCATTGGAGACTGATGAGCCGGAGGCGGACAAACCAGTGACAGAAGAGTATCATCCCTTGACCTCATTGACCTTGGACAGAATGAAGGAATTGGACATTGTTGAGCTTGGCGAGACATCGTATTACGGGGCGCATGCCAAGATTGCTGGCCGAATCAGGGGGTTGAAGCCCTCTGACGAGGAGGTGGAGTTTGAGCTGACGGGCACGATGACGGACCGTGTGCTGGAACGCTTCGGGGGAAAGCGCTCGAGGACAGTGACGGTGCACGCGTGTCCTGCCGGTTGTCCACAGTTGATGACGGGTGACAACTACTTCCATGCTCGAGGCTTTTGGGATGCGGCCGTGGCGCCAAAGCCCTGGCATACCAACCTCGTCCCCGCTAAGGCTGCTGATGAAGGAGAGGTTGATGAGTTGGCCGGACTTCGTGAGATGGCTATGGACCGGGGCAAGGGGAGGGGAGGTGTCAAGCCTCCCAACGAAGAAGGACTGAAAGAGAGAAGCAAGTCACCCGTGGTTGCCGCAGAGAAGAAGGGCAAAAAGAGGAAGAGAAAAGAAAGGACAGCTGAGAAGGAGTATGATGAGATGCTCGCCAAGAAAGAAGAGACAGAGGAGCTTGAACGAGGGCAGAAGACGGCACGGGCCCTATTCGCCAACACATGCCTGGACCCCAACGTACCCAGGCGAAAGCGCCTTATGAAGAAGGCCCGGCGTGTGAGCAAGAAAAAGGACAAGAAGCGAAAGAAGTCTGACTCAGGAAGCTCTGGGTCGTCATCAAGCTCGTCGAGTGAGACTGAAAAAGGGTCGGAGGAGGAGGGCCCGCTGTTCGAGGAGACAAGGAGGATCCGGAGGTTGAGTGAGAAGTGCCCAGGTGCCTTGACGGCTCAGGCTTTGGACAATGTCCGTGAACATCTCCTTTCTTCTCGAGGTGAGTTGCACAGTGTGTCGCGAGATCAACTCAGTCCATTGTTCTCGATGTACACGCACCAACACCTCCAATCGCTTGCAAGTCCGGTGCTTTGGCAGGAGTTGGTGACTGTCGCCCAGGTCTCAGACTTATTGCTCCGGAGGAAGGTGGCCGCTGCGCTAGATGTGCTCGTTCAACGTGCGAAGTCACTTGAAGCGACCCTCCGCGGTGGACACTTTTCAGTTTCCCGCCAGCTGGAGCTAGTCAATGCGGAACAGATCCGTATAGCAGAACCCGCTGAACAGGTCGAGGCAGCCAGAAGCGCGAGAGATGAGTTTCGTAATCGCTCCATTGGCAATCGGCCCTACGGCATGGCTCAGCGAGGAGACAGTGACCATCAGCCCAAAGGACGTGGCAAGCCTGTGCCAACCTCAGAACCAGCGTACAAGCGCAAAGGAGGTGAGAAGGGAAGAGGAAAAGAAAAAGGAAAATGGGGAAAGAAAACAAAAGAGGAGAGTTGATAGATGGTTCTGAGGAGGTGAGCACAGGCATTGGAAGGAGAGTAAGAAGAAAGGAAGTATTGAGGGCAGATGAGTCAAAGAGAGGTCAGAGGCAAGAGGATGAGGAGAGACGGAAAGAAAAAGAAGATGAGAGGGCAATAGAAGAGATGCTGACAGAATGCTACCAAAGGGCAGTTGAGAGCGGAAGGACGCATAGCGACTATGACCTTGGAGGTGAGTTCGGAAGCCAAAACGAGCATCCAAGCCCGCCGGGCCAAGGAGGGGAGGTTGAGGCGACCTCCCAATCTGAGGTGAGGAGTAAGCAATCTGCTGGCATGGGCCGCGGACAGCGCCGAGCCTGGATTGAGGAGCAGCCCAATGAAAGCGCAGGGGAGGTTGCGAGATCCTCCCATTTTGCATGGAACCCTTTGCCGCGACTGGCTTTGACGCCGTGCCGTGGAGATCCTTTTTTGACGGAGCAGATGGGCCCAGCCTCATGGCAGAAGAACCTGCGAAGTGCTTGTGGCAAAAAGAAAGCAGTTTGAGGGAGCTGAGTCCGGCGCTGTCTCAATCCTTGGAGGTGTTGTCGAAGACCACGCGTTGCGGGCAGTCCACGGAGGGAATTTTTCCTCTCCCACTTCCAGGGACTTTGGGATGGTTTGAGCCGGTTGACTCAGTGTTGGAAGCTCTTGTTCGAGGGTTGAACAGCCTTTATGGGGTGTCCACTGGTGCCAGCACAAGGGTATCAAAGATCCAGAAGAAGCTCCTGGTGCGTTTAAGGGAGGTGCTTAGGCACAGTGAACTGCCAGAAGTTGCCCTTCCTCCCATAACCTTTCAAGAGTTCTTTGCAACGAAAGGCATTGATTACTCAGGTGAGGAGGTCCGAGTAGCTAAGTCATTCCAATGGAAGATGGTGGCCGCGGCTTTCCCTGAGGGGGTAGGGACCTTGGAGCTAGAAGCCTTCTGTGAGGGAGGAACTCGGTCGTATGTGACAGACTTCGAGCAATTCCTGCTTCCGCCCCAGGATCAAAGCCTCGGGAAGACGCCCTCCATCATGGTCAACCAAGAGCACTGGGCCGAGGTGTGCCGTGGCCTGATTGAGAGAGGAGTTTGTGGGGTGATGAGACGTGAGGACCTGTTTCATGTGGGGGGTCGACCCGTGCTAAACGGACTTTTTGCCGTAGAGAAGGGAGAGAAGGCTATCGATGACAGAGGTGAGGAGTTTGAGGTGTGCAGGTTGATCATGAATTTGGTTCCGACCAATGCTCTCTGCCGTAATCTGGTGGGGGACACGTCAACCTTACCCACTGTTACAGGGATGTCTGGAACGGTTTTAGAAGACGGTGAGCTGCTATTGACCTCTTCTGAAGATATACGTTGTTTCTTCTATCTATTCCGAACACCTCCGCAATGGCACCGCTTTATGGGGTTTGGACGGGAGGTCCCCGCCGAGGGCCTCCCAGAAGGGTATGCTGGAGGTGGCTGGCATCTTGTAAGTCGGGTCTTGCCGATGGGGTTCGTGAACTCGGTGGCAATAGCTCAGCATGTCCATCGTCGTGTGATCCATCAGGCTTTAGGCGGTGAAAGGCGGTTGGCCGGAAGGGAGCAGGAGATCCGGCGTGATCGTCATCAGAGCACGGCCTCGCACCAGTTTCGGGTCTACCTGGACAACTATGATGAGTTGCATAAGGTGGACAGGAGGACAGCAGAGATGTTGAAAGGGTCGCCCTCAGCGTGGAGCTTGGCAGTGAGGGAGACCTATCAGACGTTGGGACTACCTCGACATCCCAAGAAGGCAGTGACCCAGGAGTTGCGTGCAGAAGTGCAAGGAGCTTGGGTGGATGGTGAGTTAGGGCGCGCGTCACCGAAGATGGAGAAGGTGGGAAGGTATGTGAGGTTAGCAGTTGAGATCTGTATTGCCGGCAGAGCGTCTCAGCGTGAGCTGCAAGTGGTTGGCGGCGGCTTCGTCTACATTGCCATGTTCCGGAGACCCCTGTTGTCAGGTTTGAATGCTGTGTGGAGACAGGTAACTGAGCTAGGGGCCCTGGGGCCGTTGGTGAGGAGGCCTTTGCCGGTAGAGGTGGCACTGGAGTTGGCTCGCTTTGTGACCCTGACGCCACTGGCCTACATGGATTTCCGCTTGGCGACGTCGGAGCTAGTCACGGCGAGTGACGCTTCCACCACAGGCGGAGGTCTGTGTGTCACCAGGGAGCTCAGCCCTTTCGGTGTCGCAGCATGTCAGGCAGAGTGCCGAGGTGATGTAGTTGAACCCGAAGCAATGGACCAAGTCCTTGTGGTGTCACTGTTCGATGGCATAGGAGCGTTGCGCGTGGCCTTGGACGCCTTGCGTGTGCCCGTGGGGGGATACGTGTCGGTTGAGATCTCCCCTGAGGCGAATCGCGTCGTTGAGTCCTACTTCCCGGACGTGGTCTGCGTGAGTGACGTGGCGGACGTGACAGACGAGCGTGTGCTTGAGTGGCGGTTGCGTTTTGCCAACGTTGGTCTGATCTTGCTTGGAGCTGGGCCACCGTGCCAAGGTGTGTCGGGGTTGAACTCCGACCGAAAAGGGGCTCTGAGAGACGTCCGATCCTGCTTATTTCAACATATTCCCAGAGTTGAGGCACTCCTGAAGCGACATTTCAAATGGTGCCCGGTCCACCGGCTGATTGAGAATGTGGCTTCTATGGACGCCCACGATTGTCACACTATGTCGGAGGCCTATGAGACGATCCCTTGGTGCGTTGATGCAGGAGGAGTCAGCTTGGCCAGACGACCACGGCTGTACTGGTGCAGTTGGGAGCCCCTTGAAGTAGAAGGCGCAAAGGTTGTAAAGGGGAGAGAAGGTGCTCTCCCAGTGCAAGGAAGGATAGAGTTGCAGGTGACGGTTGATGAACAAGATTTCCTGGAGCCAGGATGGCGTCGGGTGCGACCAGAGGGTTCATTGCCCACCTTTACCACCTCTCGACCTTCCGCTGTACCAGGACGTCGCCCAGCTGGGTTGGCCCTATGTCCGCCGGATGCTGTGGCCAGGTGGAGTGCAGACCTACATAGGTTCCCGCCTTACCAATACCGCGAAGAGAACTGCGTGGTCAATCGCCAAGGTCAACTTCGCGTGCCGTCCATAAAGGAAAGAGAGGTCATCCTTGGATTCCCTCTGGACTATACTAGAAGGTGCATGGTGAAGAGTCTGGAGGGGAGTGCAAAGCATAGTGATTGTCGCCTTAGTCTCCTGGGGAACAGCTGGTCTATTCCGGTAGCGGCGTACCTTTTGCTCTGTCTCTTCAGGACCTTAGGGATGCTACCGATGATGGATTTGGCATGCTTGGTGGAACGCTTGACGCCGGGGCGCGAGCATCAGTTGTCCAGCTTGCTGTTGAGACCGCCTTTGAGACAGACCACAAAAGCAGGGGAGGAGCAGGCAGGTTTGGTGTCGCGTCTGTTAGGGCAGATCTCGGTGAAAGGTGAGGACATTTTACTACAGCTTGGGACCGATTTGCCAGCTCGCTACCACAGGTTGAGGGCATCCATTCCCAGTAGGCTCTGGCGATGGAAGGACGTTGCAGGCTGGAGGTGGACCGGCGATGTGGAGCACATAAATGCCCTCGAGTTGAGAGCTGTGAAAACGGCCCTTGTCTGGCGGCTGAAGGAGTTGGCAGACAGCTCATGCCGTTTCCTGCATCTGGTTGATTCCTTGGTTGTGTTGCATGCCTTGTCGCGAGGGAGGTCATCGAGCCGGAGGTTGAGAAGAACCTTGTGTCGGATTGGAGCGCTTCAGTTGGCAGGTGGTTTAGTTGGTGTTTGGGGTTACGTGGATACCCACCAGAACCCCGCTGATCGGCCTTCGCGCCGCCCACTTCGAAAGAAATGGGGAAGAAAACCACGAAAGTAATGGAAGGAAAAAGCCAACAGGAGCGCAAAAAAGTCCGCAACAAACTAGGATCCCTCAAAGGTTTGACTGTGCAACCTCGCACTCGGCAGCGATACACCGAAAGTCTCAACAAGTTTTTTGACTGGATGGCAGGGGAGGGGTTGGCCCTCCCAAAGCAACAAGCTCGTTTGGACCCTCTTGTCAGTGATTACCTCGAACACCTCTGGGCCTCTGGAGAAGGAAAGTCAGTAGCCAATAACACTCTCGCCGCTTTGCAAGACCGCGACCCCTCCCTCAAGAAGAAACTTCCTGGCAGCTGGAGGCTTTTAAAAGCATGGAGTGCAGTGGAGATCCCCAACAGGGCACCCCCAATGACAGTACAAATTCTTGATGCATTATGTGGCTGGTCCCTTTTCCACGGCTGCCCAGAGTTTGGCCTTTCCTTGCGGGTCGCCTTCTTTGGTTTACTCCGCACTGGAGAACTACTGAGCCTCCGGGCAAAAGACATTTTCATCCCCGGACCTAAAGGACCCGCTGTTCTGTCCCTTGGGCTTACGAAGGGAGGTGCCCGACAGGGTGCAGCAGAGAGCGTGACGCTGCATGACCGCTCTATCCTCCCATCTTTGTGGAAATGGAAACAATCTGCTAGTCCTTCAAAGTTTCTAACTGCTAAGCCACATGCCTGGAGGGCCATGTTTACGAAAGCCAACGAAGCACTGCGTTTGAACGACCTGCATTTCAGACCATACAGCTTACGTCGTGGGGGCGCGACGTTTTGGTTTAACCAGCACGGTTCGTTTGATAGGTTGCTCGTGCAAGGGCGTTGGGCTGCGGCCCGTACGGCCAGAGTGTACCTGAACGACGGTCTTGCTCAGTTGGCAGATCTGTCTCCGTCGAATTCATTTTTAATTCCTTACCTCAACCTGTACTGTAAGAGCCCAAACCTTGAGCCTGGTACGCCTCTAGGGCGTGCCAGGCCAGGGGGACGTGGAGGAGCTAAGAAGGGAAAGTGATCGTGTCGGATTTTCATTTTT